ATCATATTTGAAGAGAATCAGTGTATCCCCAGGTCTAGAACCTTAAGACAGTGAAAGCTGTGTGCATGCTGGCTAACTGGCAAGTTGCTCCCCTGAAAGTGTGTCCCGTGGGCATCCCAGGGGTCTGCTTCAACTGGGTTTTTGTCTGCCTGCAGGGGTGCATTTCACTTCTCTGCTGAGTGTCTGGAACAACAGGCACATAAACAACAGCAAAACCCTAAGTGTGTAGGAGGGAGACAGCAGAAAGTCAGGGGCCTCTAAATCTACCCCAGGCCACAGTTTCCTTCTCTGTTGCTCCTGGTGTGTCTTTATGAAGGCCTGTGGTGCTCCGCCTTTTCTGGCTGGTCAATTGGAGAGTCTGTTTCTAGAACCATCCACCTCTCTGCTTGATCTATCAACGAGGACTTCCAGAACTGCCTGTTTACTTGGGCTCCCTGCCAGTCACTGGAAACCCCCCACCCAAACTCCCCTCCGTCACCTTCTGGAGCCATCTGCAGGCAGGCAGCTGTGGCTCTGTCCTCCCAGTGTGGGCAAGCATGGCATCTTTTCTGAGAACCAAGTGTTCTTACATGCCACAAGCCCAGGAATAAGGCAGCATATTCGTCAGCTCCATTACACTCACTTGAATGACCATCACCAGGCGACCCAGTACCTGTGCCTGTGACAGCCTAGACTAGAAAGAAGGCACTTTTGATTTTTAGGTTTCATCATCTGTCTGAGTTTATTCTCATACCTTCCCTTCTCTGTGGCCTCTTTCCCTTTCTGTCTGTTTTTTAAAAGCATTGGAGGCCAAAACCAAAAAGCAAAGCAACTATAAAAGCAGATTTTTCAAGGGTGCTTCTCCTCTTGATTGGTCCAGAGGGAGAGAGCGAGGTGGCCCAGTACTGCCCACTGCCTGTAGGTGTTCACCCTTCCCCATAAGTGCCCTCCTCAGACTGCCTTTCTCAAGTCTTAGTGCAAAGGAAGACAGACCCAGCACCGTGGGACCTGTGGACTGAGGTGGGCATGAGCCTCATGGGACAGGGACATCCACTTGCCTGATTGTGTGCAGTGTTGTTTTAGGCTAATCCTTGCCCCAGCATCATCCCTGCAGCATGCACACTCCTCCCTCCATTGAGTGACTGCATCTCCAAGAAGCCTCTCACACACTTCTGTGCATTAGTCTGGAGGGAGGGCGAAGAATATTATGAGAACGAAATTCTTTTAGGAGCTAAAGCAAATTCTTTTAAATGATTAATTTGAAACAAAAAATAAAGTAACTAAAAAGGGTAAATGCATAGCTCAAAGAAATTTATTTATATCACCTTTATTTCTGGAGCGATGTGAGGATTTTGATTATAAAGTGTTGAGAAGACATATTGAGATAGGTTAATTCTTAAAATTTGATATAATATGTGGGACATCAGTTGTACATAATATTTTTAGTCCTTAAACCTCCTCTTCTGTGTTCAGAAAAAATGATGTAAGGTTTTTCAGATATTTGCATAAGCTCTATCCTTTCCATGCCCAGTTTCGCCATCTTTATTCTTATCTAATGTCATTCAAGAACAGGTTGTTAATGCTAATAATAAATGATGTGCACTATTTGAAATGGTGTTTGTTGTATTTGAAATTATGTTGCTCTGAGGCAATTTTGAAGGATTTCAGAACATAGTCAAATTTGGGGAGTTTCTTGTCACAATGTCCACTTGTTTACCTTTGGCTAAGTTCAGGAAGAATTTCAAAAATAACTGAAATTGATACCAATGTTTTCACTTTCCCAGCTCCTCATGATGCAAAGTTGATTATCTAGATGAAGGGGTAACAAAAGAGGACTGGGGTTGTAGCAGAAAGCTGCATTACCAAGGAGGTATTGTTCCTGCCCAGATTTTCAGGTTAAGATGCTGAATGTATCTGCAAGGGAAGAAAAGCACCTCTCAGATTATTACCTGTTCTTTGCAGGTAAGATATAAGGTGTGTGCTTTCCAGACCTCTGGGGGCTTGCTGGCTGGGATTCTTGAACATCACCCTTGAGGGGAGGGGTGCTCTTCACCAACTATTTTTCTTGGTGGGCACAAGTGGGTTGTATTATCCTCTTCCCTTTGTGTTTAGCATAGCCATAGCACTTGTACTGGTGCAGGAATCCAGAGAAGTTCCATATGGTGCATCTGGGAAAAAGCTTTAAAAGCTAGTGTTCAGTTTGTTGGAACCTCATTTCCTCTGCCATAGCAACCAGCTGCAGATGAGGAGGTTCTACTAGGCTTCTTCCTGGAGTGAAGGGAGCTGACACAGTGTCTGTCTATCCTACCCCAGGCCCTTAACCCATACGAATAGATAGCATGAATCAGAAAGACGTCTTTGTTGCTTCAGGGCATTAAGATTTGGAGGGCATGTTGTTACTGTCACATGTCTAGCCTGGCATGATGGAAACAGCTTTTTATCCCCTTTATGTTGAATATTTATTAATAATTGTGTGAAACCCACACATTATCACGGTTTATTGCTTTTTGTTGCCGTTCTTTATTCTTATTGATCCTATTATTTCTGATAGCTGATATAACTTCAACTATTTGGAAACTAAACACCACAAAATCTTACAGTGACAGGCAAGAATTTTAATGAGAATGTATTATATTTATGTTGTACACATGATTCTTGCACTTCATTGGGTTTATGTGTTATAGTCCATCCTCTATCAGTCTGTCCTCTTCATACTATTCCATTGCACAGTCCTAAGGAGTAAAATGCAACATATAACTAATCTTTGCATATTCTTGTGGTAAATTCTAGCAGTACACATTACATGGAAACCATTGAGCAGTCTGCTGAAATGCTAATGCCGAGGAGGAGGAGGACAAAGATTTCAAGGGGTCATGCTCCAGGAGCATACATGCCCACCAACGTCACTGTAAAGCTGTTCAGTTAAGACAAATAATTTACCTGCCTCTGTGAATATCTGAAAATCAGAAGTGAGATTCAAACTACATAGTTAACAGCATTCTAGATTTTAAAACTGTGAAGACATCCAAAAGGATGAGATAAATGTGGAGATGATCAAATAACATGTTTTTAGGGGTCAAATGGTTAAGTGACCTCATTTTAGACATGTATTATTTGCTGGTGTTTTCCTTGGGAATTTTTTGGGGAAGTATATATTGATCTTTGGAATAAAACCCTTGCCAGCTTACACTACATTGTTTTTGTGTTACCATCTGATTTTTTCTGTTTTGTTTTATAGACTCCAATGTTTATTTTTTAATTGAGAGTACATTAATTTATAATACTGTATGTGGTTCAGAGGCATGGATGTGAGCACACTTGCTCAGATGTCTGTCACCACACCCACCACCCAGGCACCATACTCCTTGTACCCCCTCCACACCATGTTTTCACCCCCACTCTTGTAGCCTTGATTCTACATAGGGCTGGTTAATAAAACAAAAAAAAAGTCAGATAAAATCATCTGATTTTATTTCCATTTTTGTATCATCAGAAAATGGTTCTTGAAGAAATGATTTTGAACTTTCTGATAGATGGAAGGCTATTTGCATCATATTTGATGTATACACCCTGATAACATTCTGATAATCAAATTACAATTTTGGCATTTCTAATCTCATGAGTTTCTTAATTGTTCTTGTCATATTCCCTAAATTAATGCTCAAAGAATTTAAAGTAGTATGTATTTTTAATACTATAAGATTAGAATGTATTCACACAAAATTTAAGTATTGCCATTAAGTCTTAATATTTTTATATTTTTCTTGTTTATTATAGAAGCATATCCTGTCATTTAAAGACAGTTTACTCCTACACACATCTCTTTATGACACATAGACCTTTGTTCATTCATTCATTCATTTAGGAGATACTTAATAAACAGCTATATTAGATACTATGATAAGCACTATTAATACAGAAATGGAAACTACATAGCCCCAGTCTTAAAGAGCACATATTTTATTTGTGTGTGCATTTGATTATTTGTAGGTGCATTTTAGTTATGCCTTATTTTGAAATCACAACAGGGAAGTGTGGTAGAAAATTCCATTGAAACAGTAGAAGAAAGGATTTATCTAGAACTGATAAAAGGACCATGAAGATCTTCACAAAGGTGATACTGGAATGAGGCATTTAATGAAATAGTTTACCACTTTGTTCAGTAAAAATATTCGAACAGTTGAGGAGCTTACCAGCATGTTTATTTTTGGGTAATTAGAGCACATTTCTCTGCAAATAGGGTGGCTCTAGCATTTATGCCATATTCTATCCTCTGGGAATTTGGCGATTATAACCTGGGTGATATTATAAAATATGAGCAAGGCAATAGCCATTCACAGTGGATCTGACAACAGAATTAGATGAAAGTCTGTTTAGACTAACAGTACCTTTTGACTCTTTAATTGTAGGACATATGCACATCAATTTCCCATCTCTCAAATATAACTACTACTAATTTCTTCCAATTAAGGTTAAATGAGATAGTGCTTTTAATGTGGTCAGTGCAATTAATGGCACAGAGCATGAATTCAAGAAATGATAAAAATTAAGATTATTCATAGTAATTAAGAATAGTCTTGACAATAAATTATAGATGTTAAAAAGCATGGCACAATTGGGAAGGTAGAAAAATTGGGAAAAATGGCTTTTCAGTGAATGACTTTCTACTTGAAAGTTTGAAGGAGATGAGAGGGTCACTTTGTAAAAGGTCGCAATTCGAATTTTTTTTGGCAAATTACTGATAATTCCATTTGTGGGGAATAATGATTTTCTATTCTGGTGTTCTGATATCAGTGATCATCTATGGTGATAATGTTGTCGAACAGTCCTCGAGTGAGATGTCAGCATTTGACTATGATTGTTTGCAAACCCTGCTGTGATTACACTCAGTTGTCTAATTGCTTAATTTATTGATGTTGTGTTGACATGTTTTTCAACAGCAGTTGTGATTGCAGATAACTAATCATTGCTATTCTGGCTCATTATCTCACATTTGCTTTCGATCTGTCTGATTGCTGCAGGTGGAAACAATAGGTGATGCCTACTGTGTTGCCGCAGGACTGCACAGGAAGAGCCTCTGCCATGCCAAGCCCATTGCCCTGATGGCCCTGAAGATGATGGAACTTTCAGAAGAGGTGCTGACACCTGATGGAAGACCAATTCAGGTAGCCTTCTCAGCTATCTAGTTTGAGTAATAATGTACCTTTTACTCAAGGAGCAAGAAATTCCCTCTAGAATTCTCACTAACTTACAGCTCTAGACAAATCAGGTGCCCAAGGAGGATGACTGGTATCTAGAGATTAGTCAGAGATCCAGGAAAAGAGCAAATGGAAGTGATCCCAAGTGGGAAAAGGTATGTGGAGGACACAGAGCCACAGAGAAAGGAAAGCTGAGGGGTTGGACCAAGGAGAAAACTTATTCTCATTCATCGCATCATCAATACCAAACAGAAATGATGACAGTCAGAGTCAGAGAAACAATCATAAAAAGAGAAATTAAGCAGCAAAGATGAGAACCTGGGCAATTGCCTGAGAGTATTCTTGCAAAACCTCAGTCCTTGGTCATTTCTGCAGTATTTTTTTAATGTGGCAGAACTTGAAGGTTGAAGACTAGTAAGTGAGGAAATTTGAAAAGTGGGTAGAAATTTAGGCTTTGGTGACTTGAACTCTCTTTGGTACTAACAACTTTCTGCAGCCTGGGGTCTACCTCTGGGAATTGATAAGGGCACTAGCTGTTTCTCTGCCAGAGTCCAGTAGATCCCAGAAGTGTTATAACTATGACTCCTTATAAACTAGATATCTTGTGCTCAAAAATTTTACCTTAAATCTAACTTAGTCCTCTCATAATACCTCACCAATACTAGGTTAAAAATAATACAGAAAAATAAAAAAGGCTTCAAATGTGGATGTGTTTTTATTTCTGGCATTGCAGCAAATAAACACCCCAAGTGAGCCCTTTGATAAATACTTTTGAAATGTAAGTTAACCATTTTTAAAATATTTCTTAAAATATTAAGCACATCACTGGACTCAGGAAAGAGAGAAATGTGCCTGTCATGTTATGTGTATAGATTGAACAAATTGTAGAGGGTGTATTTAACTTAAGTTGTTGTCAGCGATAGCAGGAACAAAAAACACTATCCCTCCATGGAAGAAGTCAACTACATTCCTATGGTTAAAGAATTTCCAAGAGTAGAGTGCTCTGGAGAAGGAGTAGCTAATAATGAAAACCAAATCAAACAAAAAGTACCTCCCCTGCCCTGCCTTCTACAAGCACAGAGGAAAACTAAGTACTATGGGTAAAAACCAATAGAAATTAATGGATGAGAAAAGCAGATCCAAAGTGTCAGATAGCAACTTTTCAGTCATGCTTTAAGTGTTATTGCTTAACATAATTTAAATAGAAGAGAAGCTTAAACATGTGAGACAGGGCTATAGATTTGCAATCAGAAAAATCCTAATTCTCACTAGGCATCTGTAGGGTAAGGTAAAAGGTATCAGGCTTTTCTGCCCTCCCGCCATTAGGATAGATGGTGGAACCCTGCGATCCTGAGTGCGTGCCTGATGGCTGGCACCTGGAGTAGGGTGTGGGCATGCGTAGGTGGGTACACCTGCGCTAAGAGACTGATTTATAAGGGTGGTGCAGCGGAGTGCGGTGTGGTGGTAGTGCAGTGTTAAGGGTGGAGGAGTGGAGTGTACAGAGGAGTACAGCGACTACAAACAACGGCGAAGAGCATGTGGCTGCTAGAACCGTTCATAAACCTGCCCGGAATGGGTTGGTTGCTTTACAGTATATATAAAACCATATTAGACACAACTGACACAAAAATTAGTACACTGGAAGTTAGAACTAAAGAAATTATAGTTAAATCCAGGAAATTAAAAATGGGAAAATATGAATAAGAGAATGTAAAATGTAAAAGATGCAGGCAACATGGAAGTCAGAGTGGGAAGATATAGTTCATGCTCAGTGGGCTGCCAGGGGAGATAATGGAGGGAATGCAAAAATGGGATTTTTTTTTTTTTTTTGGTACTGTTAAACGATTGTAAAATGTTCTCAGTCAAAGCAATCCTCAATAATCACCAGTAGAAAAATCACAGGAACCCAACATTAAACATATTTTAATGAGACTGCAGGATATCAGAGAAAAAGAGGACTTGGTAAATGACAAAGGAGATACTGATCAGTGGAGAAAAGATGGCTGTTCAATAGTTTACAAGACAGTTGGTTATCCTTGTGGAAGAATAATTGGATCTCTATTATGTAAGTCTTCTCGTAAATCAACTCCAGGTGGGCTAAATGTGAAAGATACACTTTAACACTTACAATATTATAATTAGGAATTTTGATTTAGAGTAGAGCAGAATTTTTTTTTGTAAACATCAGCTCAAAATTTTCTTTTTTTTTTTTTTTTTTAAAGATTTATTTATTTATTCATACAAGCACTGGGTACAGTCAGAAGCGCGGGAGGGTGAGAGAATTCACCAAAGCCAGAGCGAGGAGCAGAACAGGCAGAAGGACAGAAGTACACTGCTGAGGGGAGCAGCGGGGGGCAGGAGAGGTCTGCGCGCCATGCGGGACCCTCCTCAGGTGGCCGGGGAGCAGCCGGGGATCGAACCGGCGTCACAGAGACTGCGGGCAGCTTCGCAACCCAGCGCTCAACGGCTGCGCCACTGGGGAGGCCCAGCTCAAAATTTTCAAATGTATGTAAGAGAATTTCAAATTATCTACATTAACAGTTAAATCATCCTGTTTTTCTAAGAACACTGAAAGAGAATAAAATCAACTACAATTTAGGAGAACTTTAAACAAGACTTTTAGCAAAAGTACCCCAGTAACCTCATTATTTATAAGATTAATATGTATTAATAATATTATGATAAACCCTTAGATTTTCCCACCTCCTATTTTGAAAATCTGACAGTGTCAATGTTGGTAAGGATCTGGTTTATCAGGAAAACTCACACATAGATGGTGAGAGTATAATGTTATAATTGACTTATCATTAACTATAAAACTTTACCTTGTGCCTTTCCTATAATCAAGTAATCCCTTTCCTAAGTGTTTTCCCCAGGGAGGTACTTGTGCTTGTCTAGCAGAAGTCACATCCAAACCATTCACAGCAATTCTTTGCTAATAGCTTCAAGCTGGAGATAACTTGAACCTCTAGCAATAATAGAATGGCTATAAACTGATATATTTATGTATTGGCATGACATACAGTTGGGAAAAGGAATGACTTTAGCTATTGACATCAGTGTGAATGGATATGAAAAACAGATTATTGAGCAAAAGAATTCTATGACTTTATAATTGCATGCTATCATACTCCATTTACTTAGAATTCAAAACTGGAAACATTGAAAAGAATACTCTATTTAAAAATTTCTGCATTGATAGAAGTATAAAGGGAAAAAAAGAGAGTGATATAATACAAAATTTGTGGTAGTGTTTACCTCCAAGAAAGGAGATGATGAGGAGAAGATACATAAAGTGAACATAAGGATATAGTGCAAAATTACCCATTTTATTACTTTAATGTCCACATGTTATTTTATTATACAGTTTTAGAAAGTGGAGAGTTTTCAAATCACTCCCACCAGAGGTGGCTACAGAGAAGTGTGGAGCATTACCAAAAATAAAAAGGAGTTTAAGTCCCCTTTGGACATAATTATCAAGTTATTCATGTACATGAATCATACTTCTACCACCACAAGGAAAACTACACAGACAAAAAGAATTGTGCCTCAGGTCTCCTGCAAACTGCAAATACACAAATTTCACATTAAATTGACTTCAAGTCTTAAATGCTCAAGACTACCAGCTGGGAAGTTTTGTCATTGGGATTGTTTTCTATGTGGAGATACACACGTACATACCTGCCTATGTATACACACACACATGTGTAAATGATTAGATTTGAAGCTACCAAAGGAGTAAGGCAGAGGGCCCAGTGCACTGTGGATGAGTTGGTGGTGGGTGTGATGTAGTCACATAAGTCTGAGGAAGTGTGAATTACTGAATCAAAAATAGTGCTGTAAACAGGTTTAACCTCAATAAAGAGAAAGAAAAATTCACAGTGGTAACTGGTTATTTTGATCAAAGTGTGCTGAAAGTACTAGTAAAGATTTTCCTTTCAGCAACAAAAACTACTCAGATTACTTTTGCAAGATTAGTTTCACAAGATTAAAGGAGAGCATAAAATTACACAGTTTTCTAGTGAAATCACAATATAGCTATCTCAAACACAGTACAAAATAAGTATGACTTTATTTCAATTGTCTATTGTACAGAATATAAGAAAATCAGATTTCCTTTAAGAAGGAAAAAAAAAAAGGAATAGAGCTATGCTAGCATTTCCATATAATTAGCCAGCAGAATAAACATTGTATTGATAAAGCATAAAAAATTAAAATTTTATTTTATTGAGGAAATATTGTTTTATTGCATTGTAGGTGAGTCAGGGTTAAATAATCACGCCCATTCCCACCACCAAGGCACTCATAATTCTCTACCATAGTCCCATGGGTCTTCTCCACTCCCCCTACCACCTCTGGTAGCTTTACTTTACCAACAAATTTTTAGGGTTTATTTTGGTTTAGTTTTGTCCATTTGGTTTATTTCTCTATATTCCACATGTGTAAGTGAAACCATTATTTGTTTTTCTCCTTCTCACTTATTTCACTTAGCATAATCCTCCTGTTCCATCCATGTTGTTGCTAGTGGCAAGCTTTTGTCTATTTTTCATAGCTGAGTAGTATTCCATTGTATGTTTATCCTACATGTTCTTATTTTTTAAAAGAAATCTTGGTAGACAAAGTGAAGTTGGGTTGAGGATTGACTAGAGAATATAATTAAAGATTATGCCTAGTGAAATAAGACAGAGAAGCAAAGTTCTGTTATGGTCTCACATGTGAAATCTAAAACAGTCAAGTAAACAAATATAAATGATACCCATAAATGCAAAGCACATATCTGTTGTTGCAAGACATGTGGAGTGGGGAGTCAGCAAATGTGTAAAGGAGGTCAAGAAATCCTACTTCCACTAATAAAATAAGTCCTGGGAATGTTGTATACAGCATGGTGACCAAAGCTGATAGCACGGTATGGCATATATGAAAGTTACTTAAGAAAATAGATCTTTTTTTTAAAAGATTTATTTATT